ACGAAAGATATGATAATATATGCGCAATATTCCACTGAGTAGGAAAATTAGATTTTCTGATACTTCGTGACTGACTGTAAGCCACTTCTTTAGAGAATAAATAACGAAATCAAAATTAATCCAAGTTCAAATAGTACAGCGCAAGAATATTACGTGCGATCAATCAAAAAAAGGTCTGAACAAGTCGATGTCATGTAATTTCGGTCAAGGTTATTTATAAGCGAAATGTATGTAAATTTGCATATATATATATTTGAAATTTCAGGGATGAAAAAATGAGACCTTCGTGGTGCGAAAGGATAGAGCTCAATTTGTGTGTATGATAATGGTGTGAAGTGTGAATAATATCAGACATGGTAGCTTGGATAGATGGTCCAAGTAGGAAGTATGGAAAGTCGTTCTTTTCTATCGAGAGTAGTAGGATTAAGCATTATATGGAAAGCTTCAGTTACTCTCCTTTCATTGTAGTTGGAAAAGCCTTTTTGTATTATTTTGATGTTTTTGAAATCGATTTGGTGGTTGTTGAATTCGGTGTGGACGGCTATTATTGATTTAAGTTGAAGTTTATCCAGTTCTACGTGATTGTTAGGTGGTTCCTTTGCGTATCTAAGATGTTCTTCGACTCGAGTCTAGATTTCACGAGATGACTCTCCAATATAAATGGCGTCACAATCGACACATCCTAATTTGTACACACAGTTCTGCGTTGACATAGAGGGGAGTTTTTCTTTTAAGCGAACTAAAGTGTTTCGAAGTGTGTTCGTTTTTTTGTAATATACTTTAATTCTGTGTTGTTTTAAAATTCTTTGAAGTTCTTCTGTTGTACTATGGCGGTATGGTAAAACAGCAGTCCAGTGAAACGTCCCGTTTTAATACACTTCTAATAATGTTCATATGAAAATTATTAAATCGTAAGATGTTAATTACATTCTTTCGTTCTTTTTGTTTATCCTCTTCCGATGTGATATTCTTGTTAGCTGTTATAAAAATATTTAAGGCTAGTCAGATCTTTGCACTGAATGGATACGCTGAATTGAAGTCGATATAACGATTTGAGTGTGTAGGTTTTCGGTAGACGGATAGATTTAGAATTTCATTTAGTTTTCTTTTAACTAAACAATCTAAAAATGGTATTTTATTTATCATTTATTATTATTAACTCTATTCAATATTCAATATTTTGGTACAATATAGAATTCTCATCACAAAGTAGTTCATCGAGTTTCCGTTTTTTATTTCTTGATCGATATTGACGATAAATATTGAGTGATTTCCAGTTACATGTTAACAGATCAGTAGTCGGCATTTTAAATAATATTCATTCTTTTAATTGCGTATTGTAAACCAGAACGATGTCTCCGATTGTACATTTTTGTAACTTGTATAGCGAAAGGTCGTTAACTTTTCACAAACGCACCTGAATAGGTTATGCAGTTAATTTACATAATGATCCGTTCAAACAAGCAAAGAAACAGATAACTTGTTGAAATATCTAGATGGCAGGAACAGGTAGCCCAGAGATCTGAGCAGACCGCCGAACTGCCATGTTCATTTTCATTCTCGTTCGTAAATTTGATGTGAGTTGAAAGTGTATTGAATCGTTTTGATAAGTCGTTTTTTATCATAACAAACATATCATTTATATATCTAAGCCAAATTCGTGGTTTAATGTCATCGGTGAAAATATTAGATTATATTTTTCCATAAATAGGTTACTACACTGTTAACTTTTTTGTATAATGTCCCGTTAGAAGTAAGTAGTGTCGAATTTAAGCAAAGTTTAAACGATTTCATGATAAGACTAATACCTAAAAGACGTCTGTCAGAAAGAGTAATGTCGTTCTCTGGTAAACCACTAATGAATCTATCAATACGGATACTAGCGTATGCAGAAACAACATCATAGCTTACCATGATTTCATTGTTCTCGACAATTGGTTCCGATATTTTTTAAATTAAAGTCATAGATATACTTTATTTTATTATGTAAGTTAGTTTTTAGTGGCTTTAATAATGCTGCTCATATATTTTGATAATGTATATGTTGGTGTGTTCGTGAAGTTTATTCTAGGTATAAGAAGGATCTCCGGTTTATGAATTTGAGGTAAATCATAAAACCGTTAAGTATTGCATGATTTGGGATATAGAGCAAATCACAATGAGACACCAATGACTGGTTATAGTTCTTTCAACAGTTGACTTATCTCTGATTTGACTTTATTTTTAATCGTTAGAAATTTTTTTCGGATCGATTTTTTCATATTGTCCTGAAGAGTGATGTTCAAAGGCTTTATTAATATAATATATTTTATTCATGACGATTGTTATATTGCCGTTGTCAGCTTTGTGATTATAATAGTTTTGTCTTTTTGAAGCCACTGTAGAGTCTTCAATTCTTTTCCTAAAATGTTAGGCTTAAATTGTTTAATCTTTTGACGTAGTAGATGAAACTCTTTTTCACGTAGTCGTTCGAAAAATGATTATATAATTGGAGGAGTTTCAAGAGTACCAAGTGGTTTTCTATGTAAATTGAAATTTAATCCTTTCTCTAGTAAAGTGATTTCATGATTGGCTAAATTTCAACAACCAACAAATCGATTTCAAAAACATCAAAATATAACAGAAAGCTGGAAGCACTGGATGGCTGTTTCGTCCTAGTATTGGGCTCTTCAGCAGTACGCATACACGATCCCACTCCCCACGAGATTCGAACTCAGGACCTATCAGTTTCTTGCGCGAGCGCTTAACAACTAGACCACTAAGCCGGCTGACATCCACCGGTGTTAATGTCTAACTTCAATCAATCCACGAAGTTGCGCCACCGTCCACCATTGTCTTCAGTGAGTTGATATCTCACAGCAGACCTGGTTGAACTCCACTGGTAACGGCTTCTCACCTGAACTCCAGGAAATGCCTCTTGAAGTCAGTCACTGGGTTTTCCATGGTGGTCTAGCTTCAATTAACTCATGACTCCTAATAATCTCCACAAAACCCCTTCTGATATTACAAAAAGGCTTTTCCAACTACAATGAAAGGAGAGTAACTGAAGCTTTCCATATAATGCTTAATCCTACTACTCTCAATAGAAAAGAACGACTTTCCATACTTCCTACTTGGACCATCTATCCAAGCTACCATGTCTGATATTATTCACACTTCACACCATTATCATACACACAAATTGAGCTCTATCCTTTCGCACCACGAAGGTCTCATTTTTTCATCCCTGAAATTTCAAATATATATATATATATATGACATGACATTGCCTTTCTACATAATAAGAAAGACGAACATAAAACATAGATTCAACAGCATTTGTGATTCTCAGAAATGCGTTTTAGGCTTTCTAAACCAGGACCTAGCCTTATCATGCCTGAATATGGGTTTGGTTTATTCAAATCTTACTTATGATTAATAAAGTATATCTCTACGGGATTCAACTGGTCTTAGATATTTTTCTAGTCTGTATATACTTTTATTTACATTCTTTTACTTCTGGATTTTGTGCATAGTAGAAGATGCCTTCTGGATTCACGTTTTTCAGACGACATCTTCTGATAGGTAGCTGACTACATTTTATGCAGTTATTCTTCTAATATCAAAACATACTTATTTTTAAAGAGACTTATAAAACACTGAAAAAATTAGAAATAAATTTAAACAAATTTTTTTATTTCTATATATTTTCTGTTTATTATTTAATGTGAATAATAGATAATAAATCAGAAACACAGAAATAGTGATAACTGGATAAATTTACTATAGTCTATAAGAACAATGGTTACACGTATTCATACGTACTCTCACTACTTACATTACTAATTTTAGTAATTATGGGACTCCTTAGCAGCAAGCATCCACGATCTCTCACGCGAGACTGAAACCCAGGTCATGGACTGATGAAAGTTAGATATTAACACGGTTGTATTCTTGCTCATTGGTTCAGGGGTTGAGCATTCGCGCGAGACAGAAGGTGTTGGGTTTGAGTCCTGAGTGCGGCACTGTGGATGCTCACTGTTGAGGAATTCCGTATCAGGACGAAAAGTCCTTTCAATACTTCCGGATTTTCAATGATAGTCTATTTTAGATCAACTCGTGATTTCGACTGTGAAAATACTACAATCTCCATAAGTCCCTGTACTGAGAATTTTATTAAATTTATTACTGAATGAACTTACGCAAGTAAGTGACAAACATAATCAAAAACAATATATTTTTCTTTAATAATCTGATTAGTATTCGCATCTTGATATTTTTCTGTCCTGATTAATTCCACGTTGATTCATGAGACCTACAGATAGGCATATGCAGCTGTTGTTAAGTCTTCAGCTTAAATATATATTACACTGTAATTAAAAACTGATAACACTTTTAAGTATTATACTCCATCTCGATGATTGTAATTGTACAACAATAAGAGCATTTACATGTTAAAGAATGACTAGAATTGGATTTTCTCTGTTCATTTAATGCTCAGTTAAAATCTTCAATCAAACAGTAATAGCATAGTATATTTTGAAGTCCAATATAAATACTAATTGTGTAGCTGAAGTTACAAGTTTGTATGGGTTAAACATGCCAATCTAATATCAAGACTATCATTTGAATTTGATTATATTCCACTAAATAACTGATATTTTATCCTAATTTTATTAACAGTTGAATTACTTGTTTCATGAAATGAAATATAGATGAGGTAACATATTAATTTGTTTATTAGAAAGTATCATCACAAATAATTATTACAATTATAACTATCAGGCCTGCGTTACATTTAGTGACAAAAAGTAAGCATTTAAATGAATGTAGCTTTCCAACCGAAGTTAAACAATTTTTTGTGTACATACTGTCATTGTATGTTTATTTAGGATATCTGTGATAAAACGAGAAATAATAAATTTTAATCTGATGAGCAAACTAGTAAGGATTTCATCAATTTTTATTTTAAACAAAGAGAAATTACTGTTCGATTTCTAATTGATTTTTCTATTTTTCAGTACTTTGATGGAGCAATTATAGTAGCCTCTCTAGCTTCCGATGTACTGTATGTTCGTTATGTATCCGAAACTGCAGCTGCAATGGTTGTTTTATTGTTATGGCGGATTATTCGAATTATAAATGGTAAGCTAATAAGTGAAATATTTTATCTCTACAGTAAATAGGTTATAATGCAAACACATTGTGATTCGTTTAGTTGATTGTGTACTAGAATAATATCAATTCTATGGTGTTTTATATGATAACGTAATTATTTTTATTAGAACATTTTTATGTTCCTAACGTTTAGTCTTCGTCTCACAGAAGCGAAAACTTTGTTGAAATTTATCAATGATTGTATGGAGACTGATAGGTATCCTGAAACGTACTAGAACTCTTTACGCTGAAACAAAATCTACTTTTATTCTAGAACCCTTGAATGACAGTCACTCAATCAAATAGGTTCGTTAAAAATGCACACAATCGATTTGTAATCTTTTGCAAAAAAATCTACATTAGGAGATAAAATCACAACTCATGGGACATATTGTCATTGGAGAAAAGTAGATCCGAGAAATTAGGAACTGCTAGTAAGAAACCTTCAGTCGAGATAGACTGACTAGAGCAATGAAGAGAATGTTTCATGCAACTAACCTCTATCCATCGTTATCCAGCCGACCTATGGTGGTTTGTCGACTAGAAGATAAGCTATCTAGTTTTCCACATCCATGTATATCTACGTATTCGGCTGTTCCCGTGGATAAAGCTATGTTGGGAGCACAATCAGACAAGTAATCCAAAGAGTTGGTAATTACCACCCTTCGTGGTTAGGACAGAGTATAGTCAAAACAATACGCAGCTCTATTCTATCATACTTGATCGATAGCCGTTATATAGTATGTATAGATTATTTAAAGTGATTTATCGTATTCCTGCTAGTTTTCCTTAGGGAGTTCGATCTCGTCTCTTACACATAGCAGAAATTATGGGAATTCGAGATAACAATTCGGATCTTTGCATTCATAAAAAATTCGTAACACCTTTATCTCCTTTTTTTTTAGCTGAATAGACTGTAATAGATTTTATTTACTATGATTTTCCATACTCTTTGTCCAATTATTTTCTACAAATTTACGCTTCATTGTCCAGTTATCTGAATACTTCTTATTCAATAATCTTATGATTTTTAATGAATGTTATTTCACTGTCCATACTTTTCTGTTCATCAGCCCATTTCTTATTATGAAACATTAATTCAAGTCTTCATTATTCTTATTACAACTAGTTCACTTGTCATCATACTGTCAATTGGCACTTTTTACTTACTATGTCAATTTATGTAATCTATCCTGCCTTGATTGGTTTAATAATTTCCAATATGCATATAAATATGACTATGTATTGGAGTAAAGCCCTATGAAGATCTAGTTGAAAACAATAATGTTCGCTTATAAATGTTGTTCTATTTTATACTATGAGTAATTCCAAAAGTTTACAAAGAAAACAACATCATTTACTACATTGGTCAGATCAAGATTCACATTCACTGAACTTAAATGATTCATGATTTTACGTTAACTATACTCATATATTCGAATGATCTATAGATTACATTTATTTCCAAATCTTTTATCTAAGTGACTGGAAATCAATAACAAAGTAATTTCACTATGTACGATATCGAGAAGTGAATAACTAGTTTATTCACGATACAATGTTTAATGTCTAAAATAGTACTATAAAGTAAAATATTTATGGTCCGAGTGAACGTCTATCTTCAAATGGATTCAGTTTAAAGATCTCAGTTTCAATTACTGAATAATCATAATTTCAAAGCTTTTTGACAACAAAAGGTTACGTATAATTGGGTAGCTTAGTAGCTTAGTTATATAAATAATACATTTTTTCTTTAGAAAAAATGACAGAATTTGATGGAAAATCATGAGTTTTGTAACTTAAGTATATTATATTATATTATGATTACTTTCAAATTCCCTGGTACGGCCGAGGGTAGGTAGCGTCAGCTCTCCCTCTCGAAATGCTCTCACATGGCGATATGCATACAACCAGTGCCAGAGAAGTCCTACTCACTACCTTCTCGCGGCATTACTATTGTTTGCGAAATCGAGAGGACGAAAAGCAAATGTCCGGCGCTTTAAATGGGTTGGTGGACACGGAGAGTTCACCCTGGGGGTGGGTTGGAAAACTCTCATTCCAAATCATTGGTGCACATAGGCTGCAGTATCCTAAAGGGCCAAATGGCATATGAACTAATTGTTGGTCACCGGTTACCATGGGAACGCATCACTTGACGTTGCTCTACTGCCTTGTGGATCATACCTTTATGTCGAAGGCTGCGGGTGTGGCACACTAAGAAAACCACCTGCTTCGGTTTGGGCACCCAGACAGTATCACAGCCCATACACAATTCAAGTGACTTGTGTGGCGCATATCTATTTGGTGCCCCTTTGTACGAATATTTATGTGTTCAAATAAATAAACTCAAGCAAACGGTTTTTACCCTGAAAAATGTATGTCCAGGCTCTAGCTGAATTATTAAATGAAAGTTCCAGTTACTAACTAGAAATAATCATAATATGTAGATGATTTAGGTATTTCTGCGAAACCCAAATAAATTTTTTATTTCATTTTTACATGTATGAGAAAATCAGTTATTTTGATTTGACAAATCTCATTCTTGTTGTTACAGCTTGATTAGTCATTCAGGCACAAATGCAAAAGTTAATTTATCTTATTACATTTGTTTACTTTTCGTGCTATTTTTGTGGTTAAAAGGTATGTTCTATACGTTTAGTGAATAAACCTTCTTATATATTTGACAAAAAGTACATAGTTCCAGTTTGAAATATTATTAAATCATTGTTTGATTGAATTTAGGTTGGAAGCTTAATTATTTAGGTGTTTATGTTTTAATCGTTCGACGTACGTTTGAATGTCACTTTGTCTACTATGGTTTGGGGAGAATGAGTACTATTACGTAAAATGTGTGTTCCGTTATCAGCCACGCTGACTTGAACCCTGCTCCTAAGCTTCATTTACTCGATAAACAGTTCAAATGTCTATGTCAGATTATATTCTCCTTCAAGTTAACAGTCCCCTGGTTCAAAAAGGGTAGCATCAGTGACTACACCGTTGTTTCCGTTGTTTCTCGGTTGATTCTCCATTATGCTGGTGATAAGTCTTCTACTTGAACGCTAGATTCGGCTTCCTAAGCTCTATAGTAATCCCAGGCTAAATCTACACAGCAACATGAACACGAGAGAAATGGCGCGAAATATGGAAGGAACGCTTTATTCCAAAGGTTCGTTTAGGTACAGGAAATCTAGGGTTTTAATAGCATTTAAGATGGCCTCAGCCTTCCGGAAAATTCTGAAACTCGACCAAACATAGTAGAGGTATAGGTAATCATCCAATCCGAAATGCGACATGTGACTTCTCACTTTCTAGATGTTTCTGTTAAAGCTTCTGTTGAATGCTGATTGGATAAGATGTTTCTCAGAGGTTTCATAGCCTTTTTCAACTTTTTTCGAGGAATTTTCTGGATCTCCCCAATAGCTGATAAATACAATTACTAAGTCTTTTTTGTCAATCAGTTATTGCTTCTAAAATCGTGTAACACATTGATCCTTCTAAATTGGTCTAAACAATGTGAACGATTACTGAATAAGTATGTTGAGTTTATACGCAGTGTACTCAATTTACGGTGTAGTATCAACCAGAAGGTTGGCGACTAACGAATTAATTTCTTCATTATATTTAATGGCTTGCATTCTCTAACACAAATATGATCTACATAATGGTCAAATTTTGATATCAGAGACTAAGTTGACCTACAAAATTGTTCATTTCATCACAAACCCATTAACACCAACCACCAGACCACGGGAGACATTAAAATGGCTTGAACGATCTACAACTGTACCGGTAGATTCAGACAATTGTATAAAAATGGGAATAAAAACATGAGCGCTAATTATTGTTGAATACAATGCATACAATGTATTCCATGCATAGATTTAAGATTATTTAACTACCAATCAAAAACTTTTGCCCGGAATGTTATTCAAATTGTTTAGGTTTTACATGTTTTTCGATAATATAAAGTAAGACTGTGACTAGTCTGGACTAACTTCTTTCAAGAATATCACATGATTATGTCTACTGACAGACTAACATCAAGTTATTTCGCATTTATCTACCTGCTGTTAAGAGACTTTTACTCGTATATTCAATTAATTTTATATAAACAATAAAGTTAACCGTCTAATTATAACCCGCCTAAAATAACTTAGCGTGTTCTGAATTATAAGCTAAAAGACAAAATCTCGATTGTTGAAAATTGTCTACTGGAAAATGAATATCCATAGATAATGAACGTTTTAAGCATGATAGATCTCAGAAGAAAGCTTTTCTTGTATTTCCGCTTAAAACATTGAAAAATCATTGGACTAATCAGTCATAGAATAAACGTTCGGGCTAAAGGTAACTCATCTAATATGTATAAAATTAATTACCTTATAGATAAATTACACATTGACAAGTGTTCATTTTCTGTTACCTCTAAATACATACACCACTTTATACATAAATTTCAATGTGTATATATTGTAAGAACAAAAAGAATCACAATATTAATGAACACGATCCTTAATCACTTAATTGTTATTTTTCTACCTTGAAAAGACTACTTTTCATATTGTGCGATGTTTGCACATCTCACCTTTTGAAAATCACACAAATCCCTTAAATTGTAATCAGTCATTGCTTATTCCTTCTAACCAGGTTTCTAGCTCTAGATAGTTATTATTTTATTTCTTTGTCTCACTATTTCCTATAAATATGATCATATCCTTGATTATACAACATGACCATGTTATCTTTCAATATTATTAATATTCGAAATACGTAAAGTAAATCCATGAAATTTAGTGAATTGATATTTCTCTGCCCTAATCATTTCACCTTTATTTAGAACCTATCAGTGTCATACAGAATTGATTTCAAGTCCTTAATGGGATTTTTGTTTCTTATACGTTAACACTGATATCTAGAATACAATAGTTTATGTGAAGAAAAATTCACCATTTAGTTATATAATTAAAAAAACTAAAATCTCAAAACCTTTGCTAGATGATCAAATCCATCTTTAATTTCTGCCACCATTAACGGTCAAACTAGTTTTTTTATAAGTTAATCAATAACTTGCATTAAATCATCCTACCATATACTAACCGTTCATTACGTGGACGACAGACATTTAATTTTTATGCTTTTACTAAAACTAATACAAACTGTCTTTTTTTCCAGCCCTTATGATGCACAAGAAACAACAATATGAATTTCGAATAGCAATGCAAAAGCGTTCCAGAAGAATTTTAGGAAGAAAAATGGAAGTTATACGTACAGAAAAAGAAATGCAAGATGTACGTCCAAATGTTTATTGTATTCTTTAGAGTAACATTTTATTGTAAAACAAAAAAGGATATCAAATGTTTTAAACAACAAGGGATAGTGGCTAGCATTGGAATCCAGGATGCGCGTTTCGTTCTATTTGGGACTCGTCAGCTGGATGTACCTGCATCTCAGAGTTGATGCTCACTGTGGGACGAAACGCGCGTCAAACTGGATTCCACTGCTAGCCACTATTCATCATTGCATACAAAAAACTTGTGAATTAAGGTAATATCGAGGCAAACACACAGTATGCACATATGCCAATAACAGACTGATCAATTGCAGTCTTAAAGCTCAATGGGAAGATACAAGTTAAACAATACCAAGTGAATTTATATGTAACTATTTTGTTGTCGTTCAATTTTCATTGCATAGAAACGTTCACTCTGAGACTCGAACTCAGTACCGTTCGCTTCAAACGTCATCATGTTATCCACTTAGCTTCTGTTCTACATTCAATCGATACTAGACCACCATGGAAAACTTGGAAGCACTGGACGGCCGTTTTGTTTTATTGTGTGGCTCGTCAGCAGTGCTCACCCACGATCTCGCCTCCCAAGATCCAAACATATGACCCATCAGTCTCGCGCGCGAGCGCTTAACCACTAGACCACTGAGATGGCCGGCATCCAACAGTGTTAATGCCTAACTTCAACCAATTCTTTTATCTTAAAATGGTGTTTTTTTAATTATCATTTGAAAGATAAATTATCTTGTTAAACTTGTTGAATATTCATTAAGATTATTTGTAATTTAATTATTCTTAATTATGGCATATCAATTCACTTATTCAAATGTGTTTGTGTTCTGCATAATTTCCAGTTAAATACTTTGTGAAATTATAGGTATCATTACCAAGGTTTAACATGATAATTTCAAATAAGTTGAACATTCGTAGACTATTATAAATAAATTAATATATTTGTAATATCTCAATGTGAATAGGAAAATTAGATTTTCTGATGTTTCGTGACTCAGTTTAAGACACTTCTTCAGAGAATAAGTAATTAAAACATCAATCCAAATTACAATATTTATAAAAAAGAATTCATTCAGGAAAACTATTACTAAAACATTTATTCACATTGTGGCTGACTGATTGACTGAATAGACGTTTTATCTACCTTTTAAATGAATTCAATTGTAAACCAAGTAACTGTCAGAAAACTAATCAATTTGTATAAAATTTTATATCTGTATTTAGAAAAGGATATGTATTTTTAATCCATAATTTTCGCATAGTTAAATATCATGTCAATATTTGTACTGAAAACCTTTATCTGTCATTTGATATTAGTACATGTGACCTGATTTATATACTAGAAAAAAGCCAATGATTTTAGTAAAATATTTCCTTTACACAAATAGCTTTATAATAAACCAAACAGCGTAATATGTTCAAACATGCATCATGCTGTGAAATATGGACTGGTATTTTTTTTACGTCTTTACACTAATCCTCATTAATGTTTGTCGATACATCGCAAAAATCTGCTGTTTAATTCTGTATTTATTTAAACTACAGATATCAAATACTAACTGAGATAAACACACAAATAAGCAAAAATAAAATAATACTGTTAGTTTCAATTAATGTGAAGTATGGAAACTGTCTTTGTGTTTAATTGAGTAATGTTAATCCTTAGGAAATCAATTCACCATTCTAAGTCACACAGTTATGGATATATTATCAAGTAATTTTCTACGTGTGGATAAGGGTTTCCCAGAGTTTCCTAGTTGACCACAAGTACCAAATAAAAAACTCTCTATCCTTTAATATCTTAATTCATGAATTACTTTGATAAAAAATTTACTATTAAACAAGTCACGATAAACATTTCGGTTACATATTTCAATAGTTCACCATATTCTAAGATAATTTTTTAAACTGACGGCTAACTATCATTTGTCGACAGTATATTTTTATAATATAACTAATGTCTTGTATGGAGTATATGCTATGAAGAAATAAATGACAGATGAATATTTATATTAATTCACAAAATATTACTTTATCTCTTATGTACATTGTGATTTGAAAACAGCACGTCTCATAAATAAGACGGTCATCCAGTGCTTCCATGTTTTTCATGGTGGTCTAGCTTTAATTGACTTATGAACTCAACTATTAAAACCAAGTAACTAAATAATAACCAAAAAAGAGATCCTTGAACAATTGCCTTTAAAAAATATAATTCACTGAAATTATTACTAAAGTAGAAATTGTAAATCATTCGTAAATTCGTCTTTCAAATGTAGATTGACGATGTTCCCTTTTATGAAGAATTTATTAAGTATTATATTTGTGAACAGTTTGTTAGATTAGACATATCTTAAACTACAAAGTAATTAATGTTTGTTTACGTGGCCAAGTGTCTAGTAGTTAATTTTAAAGTACTTTAGTGTGTTGTAAACATTTTAACATAAATGTCCTTGAAGTATTTTGTAATGACTAAAGTATCATTACAAGTTTTTAATTAAGTAATTTTGTGATATTTTGTCCAAAATTTGACGGGAAAATCACAGCTACCTGAATTACAAATGATCATTTATAAGTCATTTTTGTCTGACTAAGAGGTAACTAATCAAAATTCAACATGTTTTCATTTAACTAATGAAACTTAGTGTTTCATAAGTAATTAGGATAGACATGAAATCCAATAATAGTCTTTCTTCCTGATTAAGTCTTCCAAGTTGGATACATTTGTATCCTTGTGCATGTAAGTAAATAGTGATTAGTACCCGGTTGACGTCTCAGTATAAATATTAACAGTGGGATAGAAATACATTCAATTGGAGATTCTCCAATATGAAGAAACGCGTATTCTGGATTCCCCAACTAGCCATTTACCCAATATACTATAACTTGTAATTAAAAGATATATCTAAATATTCCCCTCAGATTCTATATATGACAACATGGAATAATAACTTTCACTCCTGAAAATCAGCAGTACGAAATTAAAAACTAATCAAATTTTGATTAAATAACTGTTCAAAATATTATACAGAATAAAGATTAATCAATATTTTTCTTCATTCATAGAATTTGATTACAAAGTTTTTCATTTTTGATGTACTTCAACCTTTTTTTGACCTACTACTGGTACGACTTCACATTTAGTAACTACTTTTGAACCTTATCCCTGTGCTTTATGTACATACTGTGACAAATAGCATAATGAATTCGAGTTTTGTTCAAATTAATCAGTAAATAATTATCAAAGGTAAAAGAAAATATTTCATAGATTGTTTCATGGCCAATACGGTACTTTTACTAATAATTGAGAGATTTCATTTATATGGATGATACGTTCATTATTTGTGAAAAAGATATGGAACTCATTGAAATTTTGAATAGTTTCAATAATTGTCACACCTCAATTCACAAAGCGATCACTTTGCAAACGCATCTTTAAACACTACCAGGCATGACTTATAAAAGGAGAATGCAAAGCAATTACTAGTTCAATACACGATCATTTAACCAACTATGAATACATCGCCCCATGGGAGTCTTCTTTTAAAATAATCTACACATCAAAGGAATTAGATCGAAGGGAAGTCGAATTAAAAGATTTTGCACTGCTGAGGCATTGGCAATCCATCAACCCAAACCCGAAATCTGAGTGCAAAAACCGTACATCCATCTCCTTATCCTTCCTTGGCCTTGATTCCCTTTAATAGTATGTCTCTGTTTTTTTCTTCACTTTTTGTTTAATTAATATTACTGACTTTTTAAATTGGTGTTTCGTGATTTGTTATTACCTTTAAACAAATTTTCTTGATTATTATTTAGTTTTGTTTTTATTATTATGACCTTTATGTTTGTCGTTTTTCTTCAAATCTGTCAATTGGACAATTATCGGACGCGTAAATTATTTTCATCCTTATATTATTTCTTACTCCTTGATCATTGCGTAACCTCATTTGAATAATAAGAGTCTTGAATCAATTTATGATGCAAGCTTTTCTATCATTCTATAGACATATGTTTTCCATCTAACTATAAATACGAATTCTCTTGGTTTTAATTTCATTGATCAATAATATTAGTTCCAAATTATTTTTGTATTGTTTGCTTGAATCTTCCCATTGATAACTAAGACTGCGATTGATCAATCTATTGTTGGCATATATACATCCTATACCGATTGCCTCGATATTACCTTAAGTGACTAGCATTATGAACAGAGATGGATGGTGGCTAGCAGTGAACTCCAGGACGCGCGTTTTGTTCTATTTGGGACTCGTCAGCTGGGTATACCTGCATCTCAGAGTTGATGTTCACTCCGTGACTCCAACCCAGTATCGTTCACTTCAAACGTCATCGTGTTATCCAGTTAGCTACTGAGTTCAGATAGCCACTAGCCTGTGCAATTGAGTGAAGTTTTGGTTAATTTTTGTATTGTTTTTTTGACGAGTTCCAACTTGGACGAAATGCGCATCCTGGATTCCGTTTCTGGCCGTCATCCATCATTGCTAATAATACTAATTGTTTAGGATTTATGTAGTGGTTATTTACGATATCCAGTATTACATTCATTAGTCGTTGCGATAATAACTATATCGTTTGATTAGGAACAAATTAACAAAATTAAAACAGATAAGTCTAGATAATAGGTCTATTTCTGATAATATGATGGGAGACATGCTTCTCAAAAAATCAATAGATTAAAGAGAAACAGGGCATGAGCTCATGATCTGAAGAAAGAAAATGAATGCATTTTAGCTACTGTAGTTGATCTTGAGAAATGTCATCTGCGGTGGACATCATGAAACAATATCATTTAAAACACTAAAGTAAAACAAAGAAGCACTGGTCATCTACTTCCTTGTTGTTTGACACTCATCACTGTAAACCCTCAAATTCAAAGTGAATTGAACTTAAAGCATAAATGTTTGGTGCCTCTTAACGACACATTTAACAAGATCATCAAGGTATATCATATTCTGTGTAGTCAGTAAA